GACCGCGGGCCAAGGCTCTAACTGCTGAGCCAAACCGGCCAGGGCTGGTTTAGGATTTTTTGAGGCATGCTCATTGTCTTACATTTTAGAATGGCTCGCCTCTTTGTTTCAGCTACCCCCCACCTGTACTGTTAGCCCCTTGTCTAACTCTTATTTATCCCTCAATTTATGAATTCTTCCTGAAGCCTTCCCCATTCACCATCCCTAATATCTTGTGTAAATGTCCTTGCAGTGGACATATTTCCAGTTTATTTTCTGGTAATCTTAAACTTTTATAGAAAAATACAACACCAGCCCTGGCCGGTTTGGCTCAGTGGTCAGAGCGTTGGCCTGTGGGCCAAAGGGTCTCAGGTTTGATTCCCGGTCAAGAGCATGCGCCTGGGTTGCAGGTTTGATGCCTGGTAAAGGTTGTGTGGGAGGCTTCCAGTTGATGTCGCTCTTTCTCTCACATCGATGTTTCTCTCTATCTTCCTCTCTTCATTTTACTCTATCAGAAAAAAAAAATTCAAAACCATGTCATGAATTTCTATTAAAATATTTTTCCTTTAAAAGCTCTATAAAATTAATCATTACATTTTTATTTATCAAGTATTTATATTTATCATTGGTAGTGAAGGTTGAATAATAATGACTGTTTTTAAACAAGTTTAGAAGTAGAGTTTATCAGAGTTGTATTGGTAATCTCAGTGGGTTTTTACTCACCTTATACTAACATAAATTTAATTTATAATGTAATTTGCCAAATCTTAACCCTAATTTTTATTTTTGAAAGTTAGCACGTTTAACTATTTGTACTTTTTTTGTACAAGATTTATAACTGGTTTTCCTACACTAATATCAGGAGTAATTGGTATGCTGCCATTGTACCAGTAGCAAAAAAAGATTGAATCAAACCAGTACAAAGAGGAGGGACTAGTATTAGAGTTTCAGTATTGAAACAATGTATAATAGCAAAAAAGTCATACTTTGGCCAAGGAGTTAGGTATACCTATCTAGTACATACTTGCCTCCTTTATAAATTACATCAGCCATTAAATTTTACAGAAATAAAAGACTAGATTAAGATTTGATCAAATAGCAAATAGTTCAGAACATTCTTTATTGATCCTTTGTGTTAGTTTTGCTGCCTTTTTAGTTAAAAAATGTAGTACTGATATTTATTTTTTTCCATGAACTTACTCCTCTTTTTCTCAATTCAAAATAGAGCATAAAGTTTTACTGCCTGGTGGGGAACATCTCAGATAATATGGGATGTTAATTTTGCATTTATTGACTGCATGACATAACTCAGAGAACAGTTTCTGTTGTATAGACACACGCCACACTGTATACCACCTCTTTCCCTTACTCCTCCAATCCTCCAGTTGAGCAGGACACACACACACCAAAAAACAGAACAGAGTTAACCACAAAGAGATCATTGTTTTGGCTTTGGGGCACAAACTGATGGAAAAGAAATTGAACTTAGTAAATTATACTATGAATCACTTCTTTGTAAATTCACTTACAGATTCCTGTTCTCAGAATTTATCTGTCCTTTTGGCAAGTTTTCATTGCCTCTCAGGATGTCCATTACCAAGACCCAGAGGGTGACTTAGTAACTAAGGATGAGGAGCCTAAAACAATTTTTTTTTCTTTAGCATAAAAAGACTTCTCAGAGACCCAACTCAACACAACTCCTGGGAGACATGGACTTCTGGAAGAACCCCAGATCTCTCCAAATGACATGACTTTTGATACTGTTCACAAGAGGGGTTCATACTTATCTGATGCCCAGAAAACTTGATATTTGCCTTCTTGATTTTTTGGCAACAGTTTTTTTGAGATACAATTCATATACTGTACAATTCTCCCTTTTTAAGGATGCAATTCAGTGGTTTTTACAGTAATCACAGAGTTGAACAACTGTTACTACAATTTTAATTTTTTTTTTTTTTATCCTCACCTGAGGACATTTTTTTCATTTTTTGTTCAGATAGAGTGGGAGGAGGAGAGAGGAAGAGAGAGAGAGAGAGAAACATCTACGTGAAAGGGACACATCGAGTGATTGCCACCCGCACAACCAACCAGGGCCGGGGCAAACCGCAACCGAGGTACGTGCCCTTAGCGGGAACCGAACCCAGGTCTCTCTGGATCGCAGGCCAACGCTCTAACCGCTGAACCAAACTGGCCAGAGCGCTACAATCAATTTTAAAACATTGTCAGTTTACCAAAAATGAACCCTATACTTTTTGGCTTTCACACTTCATTCCTTATAATATCCCCAACCCTAGACTACTAATCAATCTACTTTCTATTTCTATAGAGTTACCTATTCTGGACATTTCTTATAAAAGGAATCTTACCATATACAATCTTTTATGACTGGTTTCTTTTACTTGGCTTGGTGTTTTTGAGGTTCATATCGTACTATATAGCATGAATCAGCACTTCATTTCTTTTAATTGAGTAATAACTCAATATATGGATCTGTGTATCATTTGATGAACATCTGTGTTGTTTACACTTTTTGGCTGTTGTGGCTAATGGTGCTGTGAATATTTGTGTGTAAGTTTTTTGTGGATGTATATTTTCATTTTTCTTGGGTATACACCTAAGAGTAGAATTGCTGGATTATGTAGTAACTCTGTGTTTAATCTTTTGAGGAACCTGTGAACTGCTTTCCAGAGTACCTATACCATTTTACATTCCTACCAGATATGTATAAGGGTTCATTGCCAAAACACTTGGTATTATCTGTAGTTTTTTGTTCTAACCATCGTAGTGAGCCTCCCCCGACCTTGAATTTTAAATCACATGTACTTGTACCTTATTTTTGTAACTTGTGTTTTCTTATATTTAATTATGGTGATTCCTGTCTGACTGGCTTCCTTTTGTAATTTGTGCATTGCTGTGCCCATATGTTCACTCATTTTTGTGTTCTTCCTTTACTATTTATCCTGCTGAACTCCATACAGGGCTTGATGACTGATCTTGGATACAGCAACTTCTGCCCTTGTAAATAAAATTGAAGATAGAAGTGTTTATTTTTATAGAAATAAGCTGTTTCGCCCTGGCCAGTTTGGCCCAGTGGTTGAGCGTCAGCCTGTGGACCAGAGAGTCCCAGGTTCAGTTTCCGCTAAGGGCATGCACCACACACACAAAAAAATTCATGCTGTGAAAAGAAGATTAAAAAAAAAAATAAAAGAAATGAGCTGTTTCTTTTTTTAATTATGGTCATCTGTTCTGATAATAGTTATATACTAAAATATAGTGTGAGACCTGTGAGATTGTATATTTTTGTAACTGTCATTTGTGGAGAAGGAAAAAACTTTCTACTAAATATCTTTTCCACCTCTTTTTAGAAAGTAGTTTAAAAGTGCATGTTAAATACAAAAATAATCTATGGTGTTAGAAGTTACGATAATGATTACAATTCTTGGTGGGTAAAGTGACCAGAAGGGGATTTCTGTAGTGCTGGTTATCTTATATTTCTTTAAAAAAAAATTTTTTTTTTCCCTTTATTGATTTTAGAGAGAGAGGAAGTGAGAAGGAGAGAAAGATAGAAACATCGATGAGAGAGAGAACATCTATTGGCCGCCTCCTGCATACCCCCTACTGGGGATTGGGTCCGCAACCTGGGCATGTGTCCTGACCAGGAATCAAACCAGCGATCCCTTGGTGCATGGGTCATTGTTCAACCACTGAGCCACACTGGCGGACTCTTTTTTTCTTTTTTTAAATCCTAACCCGAAGATATTTTTTCATTGTTTATTAGATCGAGTGGGATGGAGGAAGGGAGAGAGAGAAACATCTGTGTGAGAGAGACACATTGATTGGTTGCCTCCCGCATGACTCCGACGGGCCAGAGATCGAATCTGCAACCATAGTATGTGCCCTTGACTGGGAATCAAACCTATAACCCTACGGTCTGCAGGCTGATGCTCTAACCGCTGAGCCAAACTGGCCAGGGCTGTCTTATATTTCTTGATCTTGAAGCTTGGAGTTAATTATATAGATGTGTTCACTTTGTGAAAATTCATTGAGCTATAAACTTAGAATATGTGTGTCTATTCAATAAAAACTTTAAAATGTTAACATTGGTTAATCATTTTGCACTAGTAAAGCTCTTTACTTGTCACATTAACTACTTTTCTAATGATTATGTTCCATTTTGAGTCAGGGTATTTACAACTTTTACATTATCACCATTCTTGTATGTACATTGCATTGATGTAGAAGTTTTAATTCCAAATTCCTTTGTTCAACAGCTCATAATTTCAGAGATTAATGATTTAGATACTTAGATTAGCTGTAGGAAGTTTGATTTTATGTTCTGCTCTGCTGCTTTAAATGAATAATCTTAAGCAACTCACAGTCTGGCTTGAGTCTTACTGTCTGTATCTACAACTTTCTCGAATACAGTTGTTTGTACTGTCTGTCAGTAAATTCAGACTCTCACTAGAGAATAGTGTAGTATGAAGGAAGAAAGACCCATGGGAAAGAGAAGCTATATTCATACTGGTTCAGTATGTATAGTAATCCATCTAACATAGTAACCACCTAGATGTTCACAAATATTTAATGTAATTATCACTTTAAAATGTGATACCAGGGAAAAAATACATTGCTGACTAATCAGTCTTTTGAATTCCAGTTCTTTTATCCATTTTTTACTATAAGAGATTTTGAAAAACTTGTGTGATTTTAACCAAATATGTTGTGTTTCTAAAGGTAGGAAGACATACAGTAAAATCAGTTTTTGGTTAACAGAAGTTTTCAAGTAGGCTTATGTTCTGTGATCTTGAGTGAATTTCTAAAAATTGGGTATATGGGTAGAGATAAGAGAGAAAAATGTTTTATAAGAATAGTAAAATGACACAGTACAGCCATTTTCTATCCTGGTGAGAAAAGGTGCTGCCCTATATCAAGGATTTTTCAGTGGACTATGAGTACTCTTTAATTAAGTAGTATAACAGAACATGTTAATAATCCTTTTAATATCTTATTTTGTCTTCTAGGCCTTCCTTATAGTTTCCCATGTCTCAATGGACTCCTGAATATAGCAAGCTCTATACCTTAAAAGTGGATATGAAGAGTGAGATTACTTCTGATGCACCAAAGACACAGGAGAGTCTGAAAGGGATCCTCTTGCACCCAGAGCCCATTGGGGCAGCCAAAAGTTTTCCTACAGAAGTTGAGATGATTAATAGTAAAGTGGGAAATGAATTCTCTCATTTGTGTGATGATTCTCAAAAACAAGAGAAGGACATGAATGGTAACCAACAAGAGCAAGAAAAAAGTGTTGTGAGGAAAAAACGCAAAAGCCAGCAGGCTGGCCCTTCCTACATGCAAAATTGTGTTAAAGAGAACCAGGGAATATTAGGATTGAGGCAACACCTAGAAGCACCAAGTGATGAAGACAATGATTCCTCTTTCAGCGATTGTCTTTCTTCTCCTTCATCTAGTCTGCATTTTGGAGATTCTGATACTGTGACATCGGATGAGGATAAAGGAGTCTCTGTAAGACATTCCCAGGCAATTTTGAGTGCTAAAAGTAGAACTCATAGTGCACGGTCCCAAAAGTGGCCTCCTACTGAGACAGAATCCGTTTCAGGATTGTTAATGAAAAGACCCTGTTTTCATAGTAGTTCATTAAGGAGACTTCCATGCAGAAAGAGATTTGTAAAAAATAATTCCTCACAGAGGACACAGAAACAAAAAGAGAGGATATTAATGCAGAGGAAAAAACGAGAAGTGTTAGCCCGAAGAAAGTATGCATTGCTCCCCAGTTCTAGTAGTTCCAGTGAAAATGACCTCAGCAGCGAATCCTCTTCGAGCTCATCAACTGAAGGAGAAGATTTGTTTGTTTCTACCAGTGAAAACCACCAAAACAATCCATCTGTTCCCTCAGGTAAAAATGTTTCTTAAATTGAGTAAAACACAGAAGCTATTGCATTGTGTTTGTGCTTATTTTCTTCTACATTTTAGTGATTTCATTGTATTCAAAAGGAATATGAGGCTCTATTAACTTAAAAAAAATTTTTTTTTTCTTGATTGATTTTTATAGAGAGAGAGAGGAAGGGAGAGGGAGAGAGAGATAGAAACATTGATGAGAGAGAATATCAACTGGCTGCCTCCTGCATGTCCCCCACTGGGGATTTGGCCCACAACTTGGGCATGTGTCTTGACTGGGAATCGAACTGGCGACCTCTTGGTGCATGAGTTGATGCTCAACCACTGAGCCACACTGGCCGGGCTATTAACTTTTATTTATTTTATTTGGTTTTTATTTTATTTTATTATCACCCGAGGACATTTTGCATTTATCTTCAGATAGAGTGGGAGGGGTGGGGGAGGAAGAGACAGAAAGAAACATTGATGTGAGAGAGACACAACTGGTTGCCACCCACACGACCCCATCTGGGGCCGGGGATGGCAAACTGCAACCGAGGTACATGCCCTTAGCCGGAACCAAACCCGGGTCTCTCTGGTCCGCTGGGCCAACGCTCTAACTGCTGAGCCAAATCAGCCAGGGTTATTTATTTATTTATTTTTATCCTCACTCGAGGACATTTTTTCTATTTTTTGTTTAGATAGAGTAGGAGGGAGAGAGAGGAAGAGAGAGAGAAGAGAGAGTGTGAGAAATATCAATATGAAAGGGACACATCGAGTGGCTGCCACCCACACAACCCAACCAGGGCCAGGGACAAATTGCAACTAAGGTATGTACCTTTAGCAGAAACTGACCCCGGGTCTCTCGGGACCACAGGTTGATGTAACAGCTGAACCATACCAGCCAGGGCCATACAGGGTTATTTTTAAGCCATATAGAGAAATTACCAACTGTAGTAGTAAACAATTACTTCAATTCTTAAAATATTTTAATTTTTCTGATAAAAATTAAGTAAAGCCAGGTATTTTTTTTTATTTTTTATCCTCACCTGACATTTTTCCATTTTTTGTACAGGTAGAGTGGGAGGGAGGGAGGGAGAGAGAGAGAGAGAGAAAGAAAGAAACATTGACGTGAAAGGGACACATCGAGTGGCCGCTAGCCGCAGGACCAACCAGGGCCGGGGACAAACTGCACCCGAGGTACACGCCCTTAGTGGGAACTGAACCCGGGTCTCTCTGGACCACAGGCCGACGCTCTAACCGCTGAGCCAAACTGGCCAGGGTGGTATTTTTATTTTTGTTAGAAAACTATTTTTACCATTTAATATATGTTAAATTATATTTTGTGAATTGTTGATTTATAGTATAATTTTTATTATAGTACTTCTTTAGTATGTTTAACTTTTTTTTTAAGTATGATTTTTTAAAAATTCATTTTAGAGAGTGAGGCAAGGAGATGGAGGGAGGGAGGGAGGGAAGGAGAGAGAGAGAGAGAGAAAGAAACATCTATGTGAGAGAGAAACATTGATTGGTTGCCTGCTGTATGCATTCCAACCAAGGATTGAACCCTTGACCTTCTGGTGTACAGGCCAACGCTCCAGCCAATTGAGCTACGCTGGCCAGGGCTAGTACGTTTTCTGAATACTTTTTCAGATAGCTGTGTGATGGATTCCTTTCACATTCAACCACAGTGAAAGCAATTTCAGTCCCTAAAAAACACAATATTATTTTTCTTTTAAGTACTCTAGTCTTATTGTATACTATTAACTTGTCATGTTCTTTATAATGAAAACCAATTTCAAGTATTTGAAGGTAACATTTATTCTAAAACTGGAACACAAACATTATCCTGCCAGTGCTCAGTAGAGCATATGACTAATCAGTTAAAATGGAATTGTGGTAGGGGATTAACTGGTGTGTGCTCTCTCCCTCCCCTCAGTAATGTTATATTTAACTAGAATAAGTTTTTGTACAGACAGTCTATGAAGTAAAAGTATGTTCCATACACATCATTTTTACAGTTTGTTTTAATTTAAAAGAAGTTGAAGTGAAGTGATCTTTGAGGAATAAAGTCTGAACTGAGGGAAAGATTAATTTCTTGTGAATGTGTAAGGAAATAGGGGATAGGGAAAGCTTTTTAAAGGGTTAAGATTATGGTTTCGTTTGTTTGTTTTTTCAAATTATAAGAGAAAGTTTATTTAGAAAGTTATAGAGCTATTAGAAATGAGCCAGCTGGGTTTTGTAGACCCAGGAAACAAGTTACAGAGGGAGAAGAAGGGTCCTTGGAGCTTAGGAGAGAGAAAGGCAAAGGTAACACACCTGGTGGGAAGAAGAGGGGGAAGGGAAAGGCACAGGCATGCTCCCAAGAGGGGGAGCACTCCAGAGTATGGTTTTTAATACTGACGAAAAGCTTTCTCAGTCTTTGCCTGATGTCTTGCTTTTTAAAGGTAGAACCTGCTAGTCTTCTTTATGGATTCCTTCCTTTTCTAGGACTCCCTTTCCATATCCTGAACCAGTAACTTTGTTCTTATTTTTAGTCTTAGCCATGTTCAGTTCATTTTTTTTAACCTACCCAAATATTTGTTTTATTTATTTTTGAAATATGTTTTTATTGACTTTTTAGGGAGAGAGACACACACACACATTGATTGGCTGCCTCCTGCACACCCCCTACTGGGGATTGAGACTGAAACCTGGGCATGTGCTCTGACTGGGGATCGAACTGGGACCTCAGTCCCTGGGACAATGGTCAGTCCACTGAGCCACACCGGCTGGGCCCAAAAACTTACTTTAAAAAGAGTTTATTGAGATCATACTACAGCTAGGATGGTTACAGGAACCATTCCCTTTGGTCTTAAGGAAGAGGAAAGTGAGAATAGGAATTGTCTTGCTTAATTGTCACATTTCACATTTTTCTCATCTAGTTAGAATGTGAAGAGTTTGGGGAAAGGGTGCTGCATAGCCCAATTTCTGCTTGAAATTAGTAAGGCAGGATGGTTGGTAATGTGATGCAGAAGTTCCAAGTTGATGTTTGTTGGAGGTATGAAAATAGAGTAAATCTAGGTCAGTATCAGTATCTTTCTTTCTTTTTCTTATCCCCACCTAAGGATATTTTTTTCACTGATTTTTTTTAGAGAGAGTGGAAAGGAGGGGGGAGGGGAAGAGAGAGCGAGACATCAATTGGTTGCCTCCTGTACAATCCCTGACTGGCCAAGGATCAAACCTGCAACCCAAGTATGTGCTCTTAACTGGAAATTGAACCCATGACCCTCTAGCACGTAGGCTGACACACTAACCACTGGGCAATGCAGTATCAGTGTCTTTCGAGGAAGAAAGGAGTTCATATATTCTCAAGCATTCAAGACAAATGAAGACTCTATAATTCATTTTTAAATCTTGTTTAATACTTATTGTAGCATGTGGTATTTTTCTTTCTTGGAAGAACTATATTACGTAAACTACATTATTTTCAAATATTACCCATAAATGTTTGTCTCTGGAAATAGAAATCCAAAAGTTGAAACAAAATTCCTGATGTTTTCTGGTTTCTAGACCAGTGTTTTATATTTTTAAAAATATGATTCAATAATATTCAAATGATATGGAATTTTAGAAGTACCAAGGAAATATAAAGTAAGAAATAAAAATTTACCTCTTTTTTTTTAATCCTCACCTGAGGACTTTTTTTTGCATTATCTTCAGATAGAGCAGGAGGGAGTGAGGGAGGAAGAGAGAGAGAAACTCCACTCGAGAGAGACACATCGAGTGGTTGCCACTCACACGATCCCAATGGGGGCCAAGGACAAACTGCAACCGAAGTACATGCCCTTAGCAGGAACCGAAACCAGGACTCTCTGGTCCTCAGGCCGACACTCTTAACTGTTGAGCCAAACTGGCCAGGGGTTACCTCTTTTTCTAAGGTCCCAGTCTTACTACTTAGAAGTAATCAGTAATTTCCTTTTTCCTGAAATTATGCTTGTAAAGATGCATTTTATATAACCTTTAGTTACACGATCTCTCTGTTTATAACAAATTATATAAATTGAAATTTAATGCATTAGCTACCTGGATCATTTATCATTGGAACTTCAAAAACATTCCATTTGTAGTTGACTCTGCTTAACTATATAAAAGTGTTTAATAATATTAGTTTACTTTTTGTAGGCTTTTAAAGAAATTTCACGTACACATAAATGGAGAGAAATCACTAATAAAGTTAATATGTAGATGTAGATTTTCTTCATTGTAGAAAGGTAATGTCCTGTTGGTGAGTTAAAATAAGGGAAGTTAAAAAAAAAATCCATGGTGTTTAATTTATATATATATATATAATGCTTTTAGTTTTAAATATATAATTCCCTTTGTACTCCTACCTTAAGCTGCATCGTGTACATGATTATGAAGCAAGAATTGAAAAGGTAATTTGGAAATTCAATTTAGAATATTATTTTAAATAGCTACTTGAGTGTTGCTATTTTGTTTTCTCTGCTTATAAGATATATTTAAGCCGTTAAAAATATATCATACCTCAGTATGTCTATGTGTGTAATCTTTAGAACTTAGAAACTACTTCAAAAACGTGCATCTCATAATTGTTAAATCTTAATTTTCTTATTTAATCGATCGAACAATTTGCAAATATTCCAAAATATAAATATGATATTATGAAATATTCAAAGATAATTTACTTCAAATCAGATAATCTTTTATTGCCTCTGTGTTTATTAGTGCCTACTTTGTTCTCCTCTTTGGACTATCAGAGAATATGTTGTAGAACCTTGTCATGGGCTTGTACCTCGTCCAGATACTGGCCAGCTTTTGAAGTAGTGCAGATGTCTCATGATGTAGAGATGTATTAGAGATAAAATTCCAAGGTTGTCAAGGAATAGTACCTTGGGTGAAGGAATGTAGACTGCATAAATTTCAGTGACAAGAGTGTTGAACCATTTGTTGTCATTGTGGTAAGCAGTAGTTCAGTGAGTTGGATAAAAATGAATATAAAAATCAATGGAATACCCA